AAGTTTAATTGGAGACTGAATTCTAAATTCAAAGTGTTCATGGAAAGTTCAATTAGAAATAGATTTATTTTGGTGGAAAAACCTTTGAAATCCATGCATGTGAAGGGTCTTCACAAAGTTCATGGAAATGTATATTATAAAAATGTTATGTGTGGTTTTCCCATTTTTTTTTTTGCACCCAAATAAACTTCTCTTTTAATTCCATTTTTTTCATGAACTGTTAAAAGTAATCTTACCTATTGGGCTCCTAACCCAATGACTAGAGTTGCAGTCTAAACCTCTCTAGACCTCAAGGCTTTCCCAACAAAATAGGGATATATCAGAAAGCTCAGCAAAGAAAGTCGGAAAGTGGACGTGTCTGTGTTTGAACCAAGGCAGATGACTCCAAAGCCCGCTTAATGTCTTGATCGGGGTCAACATCAAGCCAAAGTATTTACTTTTTGATGGAGATCCCAATGTCCAAGTTGCACTAAATTGTCCTGTTGATGCCTAGTGGTATTATTATTATCCTTGTTATAAATGCAGAGACTTACTGGCGCCACGGCTCAATAGGCTAATCCTCCGCCTGCGGCGCCAGCACACGGGGTTCTAGTCCTGGTCGGGGCGCCGGATTCTGTCCCGGTTGCCCCTCTTCTAGGCCAGCTCTCTGCTGTGGCCCGGGAGTGCAGTGGAGGATGGCCCAAGTCCTTGGGCCCTGCACCCCTTGGGAGACCAGGATAAGCACCTGGCTCCTGCTTTCGGATCAGCGCGGTGTGCCAGCCGCAGCGCGCCAGCCACAGCAGCCATTGGAGGGTGAACCAACGGCAAAGGAAGACCTTTCTCTCTGTCTCTCTCTCTCACTGTCCACTCTGCCTGGCTAAGAAACCACAAAAACAAGGTTCTGATACAAAGGGAGAGAGAGAGAGAGAAATGCAGACACTTAAAAAATATGTACTTATTTGAAAAGTTTAGTGTTGGAGAGAGAAAGAAAAAGAGAGAGAGAGAGGCATTCCTTTTACAAGTTCACTCCCCAAATGGCTGCAACAGCCAGGGCTAGGCCAGGCTGAAGCCAGGAGCCTGAAACTCCATTCAGGTCTCCCATGTGGGTGACAGGGTCCCAAGCACTCTCTTCCCAGGTGTAGAAGCAGCCAAGACTCTAGTACTCTCACATGTGATGGCAGCATTGCAAGTGCCCTGTTTCACTCCCCAAATTTTCCTGACTTTGTTTGGATGATGAATTTGGTCATGGTGTCCCTAGTCTCTGACTACTCTTTTCCATCATCTCATTAGGCTTCGTGTTTCCATTTATTAGCATGCCCTCAGTTCCCATGGCCTTATGATGCCCTGAGCTTCCTCCATATCCCTGTTTTGGAATCATTTAAGACGAGGTGGCTACAAATGGTAGCAGACATGGATAAGCTTAGCAGCTGCCCTGGATACCCTCTGTTCACTGTGACACCCATCATTCATCTTTGCCCGCTCTGATTCTGTGCCTTGATTCCCACTACTCACATCATTGTTACCTCTTGGATGTGACCTCTTTGGATATGACTGCCAACGTTGAGTCCCAAGCTTGGTGCAAGCATAGTCCCCTGATTCCAGAAAATGCCTTGCTTTAGTTTTGGAGCATCCTGTCATGGCTGTGGGATTTTGTGTATGTGGGGAGCTGGTGATCATAAATCATGACAAGCAGTCTTCCCATCAGTGCCCCTTTCTATAAAAAGTCTACAGCCCAGCAGGAGGAAAGATAGCACTGAATTCCTACAGTTTCTTGGGTGAAATAATTTTGCTTCAAAATTATTATTTTACAAAATGTTCCATATAATTGTGCATGTGTCTATAAGTAGATTATGAAGGAATTACCTTTGATGTTACAGAGAAAATGAATGAACTGGATGTTGTAACAATGAGTTGGTCCGTTTTAGCTGATTAAAGGGGGTAGAACTCCAGCACTTTGCTCCTGAACACATAATAAACATCCGATAAATTTCACTAACATCTAATGATTGCCATGATAACTCTCTCAGTTACAATCTAAGCATTAACTTTACCCTGTCTCTTTCCCAGGATGCAGTGTGGTGTGGCAGTAGCCTCTTTGTCATTGTTCCTGCCCTTGACTGAGTGAACCTGTTCCACCTCTGCACAGGGCCCTGAGGCTAAAGGTCTGTGGCAGGGAGCTGAAACCTTTCCTTGAAATCAGCTTCAGATCTTTTTGTCTCTTAATTCTTTTAATGAACTGTAGACTGGCTTTACCAAGATGATCCAACTGATTTTACCAGCATCATTGTTATTACTATTTGAAAAGCAAAGAGAGAGACAGAGGTCCTGTGCACTCATTCACTCCCCAGATGTCCACAAAGGCTAGGTCGAGGCCTGGGGCGGGAGCTGGGAGCTGGGAAGTCAGTCCAGGTTTCCCATATGGGTGGAGGAGTGCAGTTACTTGAGCCATCAGTGCTGCCTCCAGGATCTGCACTGGCAGGAAGCTGGAGTCTAGAGCTGAGATGGGAATCAAATCCTGGCTCTCTGAGGTAGGTTGTCAGCATCCTAACTGGTAGGCAAACAGCCGCTCTTTCAGCTTCAGATCTTGAGGTCGAGAACCCTTCGTTGTTTTTTGACTCTGCAGACCCAATATTAGCAAATTATTACCAGTTCATGGGGATTATTTCAATGAAAAATAAGTGCCAGATAGTGGGCACACAATCAATACCTTCATTTTTCTCTTTACTCCTGATTAAATTTGAGGGGTTCTCTTTGAAACAAGTTGTAATAGGCATCTGATCAATTTCACTAACTTCTGGACTGGCGCTGCGGCTCACTAGACTAATCCTCTGCCTGCGGCGCTGGTACCCCGGGTTCTAGTCCCAGTCGGGGCACTAGATTCTGTCCCGGTTGCTCCTCTTCCAGTCCAACTCTCTGGTGTGGCCCGAGAAGACAGTGGAGGATGGCCCAAGTGCTTGGGCCCTGCACCCGCGTGGGAGACCAGGAGGAAGCACCTGGCTCCTGGCTTTGGATCGGCGCAGCACGCCGGCCTTAGCGGCCATTTGGGGGGTGAACCAACGGAAGGAAGACCTTTCTCTCTGTTTCTCTCTCTCACTGTCTCACTCTGCCTGTCAATAAAAAATAAAAAAAAAGTTCACTACCTTCTAAAGATTGCCATAATAACTCTTTCTCTCAGTTATAATCTAAGCATTACCTTTACCCTGTGATGTAAATTCTCTGATAAATTCAGGTGAATGAATGGTTCAAGATCACATCACTAGCCAATGGCAAAATCCAACCTTCTGAAAAACTCTGCCTTTCTCTTCACTTCTTTACAACACAAAACCAAAGCAGCCAAAGAAAAGAGGTGGAAATTATGGTGTGTGGAAAAGAATATTTCTTTAGACAGCTTGTTCAAAAAGTGGATCCCGTGTTGAATTTAAATGAATGTTCTGGCCTTCATTTACATTCAGGCTATTCAACATGTGGAAATGAAACAGCAAGCAGAGAGTGTGACCGTCACCTCCCTGTGTTCATCTAACGCACCCAGACAGCTCTCAGGGTGTACACACAGAGAAATGGGCAAGTGTAAATCTCACATCTACTTGGTGGCACACGTAAACATCCAACCTCCTCAGCTTCATTTGCTTTATTACTAAAAGGGGCCTCTCCTTGTGTCTTTTCATTGTCCAGTTTTTAGAATTTAGATTAAATTACTTCCTATTTTTTGGAAGTGTCAGAACACCCAGGAGAACAGGATAATACTAAGGTTAGCAAGAAATGTGTTTGATACCAATCGACTTCCCTAATGTAAACATTTAGAAGAGAGTAAAATGAAGTGGGAAAAAAATTCAACATAGAATCCTTTTACCCAAAGGTCACAGAGTTTTAAGTCACAGAACTCCCTTTGTATCAGAACCTAGGTATGTTTTGAGTGTGCCTTCCTTACCTACCTTGAACTTTTTCATTTCTGTCTTAATTAGGGATGTCTGATTTTTTAAAAAGAAAAGTCTCATGTTTGCTTAAGTAAAGAGGGAGGTAATATAAGGATATGGCAAGCAGCATAGAGTTGCATTTCAGAATGAGTATTGAAGGAGCTGGCACTGCGACACAGAGGGTTAAAGCCCTAGTCTTCAGTGCTGGCACCCCATATGGCTGCTGGTTTGAGTCCCAGCTGTTCCACTTCCCATCCAGCTCTCTGCTATGGCCTGGGAAAGCAGTAGAAGGTGGCCCAGGTCCTTGGGCCCCTGAACCCACATGAAAGGCCTGGACAAAGCTGCAGGCTCTGGGCTTCGGATCAGTGCAGCTGCAGCTGTCTAGGAAATGAACCAGCAGATGGAAGACCTCTCTCACTTGCTCTCTCTTCTCTCTCTCTCTCTTTCTCTCTCTCTGCCTCTGTCTCTCTGTAACTCTGCCTTTCAAATAAATAAATAAATCTTAAAAAATAATGAATTTTGAGAGGCAGATGATCTGCCCGGCTCTTGAGACACTGTTTAAAGTGCCCACTCCCCACATCAGAGTAGGTTGGAGTTTTGCATCCAGCTTCTGACTTCACCTTTCTGCCAAAGTATACCCTGCAAGTCCCTAGTGATGACTCAAGGCGTTGGGTTCCTGCTACCCACATGTAAGAATTGAATTGAGTTACCAGCTATGTACTTCAGCTGAGTCCAGCCCTGGCCAGCAGATGGGAGCTCTGTTGCTGTCTCTGTCTGTCTGTCTGATACTATCAGTTCTTGGAATAAGAAAGAACTGAGTTTTAATCCTATCAATACTAGTTACCAACTGTGAGGCTTTATACAAGCAAATCCAGTCCTCCATTTTGTCATCTGTAAAGTGGGAATAGCAGTTGTTACTTTATAGAGCTGTTTGAGGATGAAATGAAACAACATTTGCACAATGCCTTGAATGTGTGCTAAGTAATGTTGACCATTGTTTATTTATTGGATGGTGAGTTTGGATATGGGATCTTCATGGAGACAGAAGCTGAGAAGTTGATAGGAATAAAGAACACTTCCTTCTCTCTAGGGCCACACATCCAGTAATTTATTGATTTTTTTTTTTTTTTGCCTCCTTCATGGTTTTCTACCTTCACTTTTGGTTTTCTCTCTCTCAGCTGACTTCCTTATTTTCTCTCCCTGTCTTTTGCCTGATATGTTCTATTCAGACCACTTGTCATAAATCTACCTGACTTTGGGGCATCTATCAACACTTGCCTACAGATTCTGAATCCCTTAGTTCAAACTAAGTTCACTACAGACACTCTGCTCTGTTGCTTGCCAACCCAAGAGTTGACGCCTGGATTAAATTATATTCAGCCTAGTGGTGGGTTGTCCCCTTCCAAGGTCAAAGAAGTATCACTATCCAACCTGACATTGAGAACCAAAGTGCTTTCTTGTGGCAGCTCAGGGCTTCTGGCCTATAGATTCAAAGCCTTGATGGGAAGTTTTCTTGTCTAAAATTCAAAAGATGGCTCACTTCGTACTTCTGGACCTGTGGTAAGGTTTACAGACCTTTCAAAGGGACATTCCGAAAGCTTCTGGATGGGCAAAGATAATTGTGTCAAAAGAAAAACAGCTTTTTCTGTATTTGCAGAAGAGACTAAAATTAAACAAATAGCGCAGATGAGACTTGTGTGTAATTAGAACTGGGTTATTGCAGGGTTTGACTCACCACCCGGGAGTCCGAGTGTCTTCTGCGTCCAGCCTCCTCCAGTGCTTTACTGGGTCGAGTGCTGTCCTCCCTCCACTGCTTCTGCGTTTCCCTTTCATCGCACTGGAGTCCTTTTCTCCAGCTTTATGTGGCGCGTCTCCATCCTTGTCCTTTATAACTACTCCATTGCTTTAAGGTGGTTTAATTCTTTTACTTTGGGTTACAGTATCTCTTTTATTTCATTTTTTGCCTAAGAGAAAAATAAGAATATGACAGATTCTTACATTGCTTTCTTTCCTTTTGCTTATTTCTGGGAACAATCCTTTTAGCATTTCTGGTTAAAAGAACTCATTAAAGTCAGTTTCAAAAGCACAGTATTAATCTCTTGCTGTTTATGTGTAAGCTCTTAGAGCCAGCTTTCCGAATGTTTAAATACATGGTCAGAGGCTGTGGTTTACCTCCCCACTTTGTTTAGGAACACCAGACTCGAACAGCAGGGCTTTTTCTCTTTAACCTTAGTGCATAACCATGGAGTTTCTTCCCTGAATCAGATTTGCATTGGGTCCTGAGGTTGCAAAGTCACCCAGTAACTAACTCACTCTGGAAAATTCTAACTTGCTCTCAGTCAGAAAGAATTAGGTATGGTTATAATGATGCCAGCAATTTTATTGTCATTAAAACATCAGCAGAAGCTGATCAGCAGTATTGATCATTGATTTGTTCCACAGGGGTCTGCCCAGCCCCTCCTAAGAACTAGAATGAAAAAGAGGTAACAAGGTACAAGAGAGACACATCTTGGCAGCTGTGTAGTGGAGAGTAAAATAATAAATGGATCCATTGCACAATTGTTTGTGTTTCCCTGTGTAATTATGGAGTAACTATGTAACTATGCTAAGGATTATGAGAAATGTTTACACATTGATTTTATCCTTAGAAGGGGAAAAGCACAGACTATAAGAGTTTTGAATTTTTTCTATTTGCTTATAACGCTAAATGAGTTTCCATCTTCTTTGGGAAATTCAGTTTAGGCCCACTGTGCATTTACTTATTCATATATATGACAGGAACTTTCTGAGCTTCTCTTGTGAATTGGGTCTGTGCTCTGCTGTAAATGCAACGATGCAAAATAAAAGATGCTGGTCAGCACTGTGTCAGGTGTTGGGCCAGCAATCATGTCACATACACAAACACATGCATATATATATATATATATATATGTAAAATTCTTTTGCATGTAAAAGGACAGAGGAAGAAAATGAAACACACACACAGAGAGAGAGAGAGAGAGAGAGAGAGAGAGAGAGAAACACACTCCATCTCCTGGTTCACTCCCCAAATGCCTGGAATGGTTAGCACTGAGACAGGTCAAACCCAGGAGCGAGGAATTCAATCTGGGTCATCCCGATGTGGGTATCAGGAACCCAATTACTTGAGCCATCATTACTCCCTCCCAAAGTCTGCGTTAGCAGGAAGATGGGAATAGGAGCTGGAGCTATGACTCGAACCCAGACACTTTGATGTTGAAGTTCAATGCTTTGAAGGAAAAGTAAAAGGAGCTGTGAGAGAATCGCTGGAGACCTAATTTACTCTATGGCTTTACAATATACAGGAGAGTAGAATTGCATGGACCAGGGTTTGGACAGTCCTCCATAGCCGTTCTGCCTACAGTGCTTACTAGCTTCATGACCTTGGGAAAGTGACATTACATCTGTAAGCCCCATCTGTGAAATGGACACTTGAATAAATACTTCCTATTTTAGTGTTTTATTACAAGGACCAAACACACTCTCAGACATAGCATAAGTGCTTTAAAAAGAATCCTTTACCTCTAACAAAGCAAAGAGAACTAGGAAGTATGTATGGAACAAGAAGTAGGAAAATAGGCATTATCTGCAGTCATCTATGATCACACATCCCAGTGCAGCTCAAGGCTAAGAGTAGTATATTTGCAAAGAGTCCTAAATATTGGCTATTTCCAAATCTTCCTTTGTTCTGAAGCTCCGTATCCCTGTTTTGAATGCTCTGGCTCTGCTACCTTTCAGTTATGCAGCAGCGAGGGCTCTGTGTGGGCCTGGCATGAGTCTGCCCGGGGTTGTGTTTTACATGCATTTCTGCAGTTATTTGCTCATTATCCATCTTGGTCCCTGACATGCCTTGAAATGCAAGCTTCACCTCAGTCAGGACTCCCTCCATGTTCTCCTTCCTAAAGCTGGAGGCAAAATAATTGCCCTTAAAGTGTGTTAGGGCTTCAGGAAGGTGACAGAGTGGTCAGCATGAGACCCAAAGGCCCTGTCGGTACACTTAACACACAACTAGACAGCAGGATGGCCAGGTATCACCAGGGTTCTTCCTGGGGTCACATCTTTTGGACCCCAAGTGAGTTTTTTGCAAAACAGGAGAAAAGGCAAGGCAGCTTCTTTGTCCATCAGTTTCTTCCTAGCCCCATATCGGACCTCTTAGTACAGATGATTTAAGATGATTTAAGAAATAAATAGATGCACATTTCTGTTATATTCCTTTAAGTATTATTGTGTATCACATTATTGTTAACAACAGTGGTAGCAACAGTCAAGCTTTTAAAGGGACCTTTAGATAGAAAGAAGCACGGCAAGGAGTATGCTGGCATATCCTTTTTTTTTTTTTTTTTTGTCATTACAGCATTGGTATAGGGAAGGAACTATTGGTACCTACCATTCGGGGTTGAGAAAGCTGACACACTCAGAGAGATTGTCCCTTGTGGTTTTTTTTTTTTTTTTTTTTTTTTTTTTTTTACAGGCAGAGTGGACAGTGAGAGAGACAGAGAGAAAGGTCTTCCTTTGCTGTTGGTTCACCCTCCAATGGCCGCTGCGGCTGGCGCACTGCAGCCGGCACACCACGTTGATCCAAAGCCAGGAGCCAGGTGCTTCTCCTGGTCTCCCATGCAGGTGCAGGACCCAAGGACTTGGGCTATCCTCCATACCATACTCTCATAAACCACAAAAAATGCTGGCCTGAAAAAGGGGCAACCCGGGACCAGAATCCAGGTGCCCCGAACTGGGACCCAGAACCTGGTGTGCTGGCGCTGCAGGCAGAGGATTAGCCTACTGAGCCGCAGCACCAGCCAGATTATCCCTTGTTTAAGGCCATCCAGCTCATCAATGGCAGTTTGGCTTATAGCATAGGTTTTCCTGCTGTAGAGTTGGTTGGAACTTGGATAATGAGGTTATGCTCATAGATGTTTATAGTGAGTCATTCACTCACTCAACTCTGATTTACTGAGTGTTATTTATGAGACAGAGTTCTTGGCCCTGGTGACACAGCAGCCAGAAACAGGCCAACTTCCTACTTTTAGGAAACTTGTATTGTAGTGGAAGGTGACAGAAAATAGATAAAATAAGTCAATTTTATAGTGGAAAGTGATAAATGCTAGTGAGAGAAATCGAATAGGAGGGACATACTTTTTCTAAATATTTATTTGGTTTACTCCCAAATGGCCACAACATCCAGATCTGGGCCAACTAGAAGCTAGGAGCCAGGAGCTCCCTCCTGGTCTCCCACCTGGATGGCAGGAGGCCATCACTCACTGTCTTCCTAGGTGCATTAGCAGGAAACTGGATCAGAAATGGAGTAGCTGGAACTTGAACTGGCACTTTGAATATGGGATTCTGGCTTTGCCCATGACAAAATAACCTACTGTGCCACAGTGCTGGCCCCAGGAGGGGGATGATTATGAGTAAGGTCAGTGAAGGTGATGTTTCATACAATCCAATCATAAAGCCTGTCATTCAGGGCTTGGTGCTGACAATGAACTTGGTACAAGTCCCTTTCCTCCTTCCTTAGGGTATCCCAGGCAGTTGTCTTACCAGCATCTCTGAGCAAGCTGTTTGTACACTGACCCTGAATGCTTAAAGACATTTGCAAAATCCTGGAATCAATGTGTTCTTTCATAACACCTCACTCTTAAGATTCACTGGGTATGGAAATAAACAAGTGCTTTGGCTTGGAAATTCTATTAAGATCCTTTTTGGTTAAGAGCTATTGCTGAAATAGTTTGGGGCTTGAATACTGTTTTTCCATCCCAAGTAGGTTTGAAAGTATGTATGATAGTAAAACAGGGCTACTAGATGAGTTTTCTATTCACTCAAAAGCCACTAGCAAATGCCCTCATGGAGAAATACCCTGGTCATGACACCCAAAGCTTCCAAGCACAACCAAAGAAAAAACCCCCAAAATGAATTGTTTGAGGCCAGACTTGCCTCATAGAATTGAATCACAACAATTATGGTAATATAGAAGACGGCAAGTGAGGTCTTACAGACACACATACACACACTCCCTCCCACACATCTACATAAGTACATGTACCTGTTTTGATTTTTGGCCTTTCCTCAACTGGAACAGCAAAGAATTTCTAAGACCAATGGAACAATGTTGAAAGTTCAGATTCTATTCATGTGAAATTTGTCAGTCAGGAAAGAACTTGGGCTAAAATAAACTTTTCTACCATGTTTGAAGAAAATGATCAGATGAACAGCATAGATAAGACAGCAGGTATCAATAGCTTTTTAAAATCTAACTCTTTTAAGGTGATTAATACACACTGAGCACCAGGCCCCAGCCTATGATGAATGTGCTGCCTATGAATGGTTTTTAATCTCTTAGTAGCTCCCTAGATATCTCACGGTCCTTGGCAAAGACTGTTAGTCTTTCCTTAGACTAGGAAAACTGCTACATTGCCTTAAAAAGTATACAGACTCGGGTAGATGTGCCTACTAGCTAAGATGGCCGCATCCCACATTGGAGAGCGTAGATTCAATACCTGACTCTGGCGCTGGACTCCAGCTTCCTGCCAAGGTAGATTCTGGAAAGCAGTTGTGCTGGCTCAAATAGTTGGGCTCCTGCTACCCACCTGGGAGATCTGGATTGAGCTGTGGCTACCAGCTTTTATTTGGGTTTTGTGGGCATTTGCGAAGTGAACCAGCAGTGGAAGCTCTCTCTCTCTTTCTCTGCCCCATCTCTATTTCTGTGGCATGCTCGCTTGCTCGCTCTCTCTCTCTCATACATAAATTAGAAGACTTGTAGGGAAATGGAATTAAGTATTCTTAGAATTATATCTATAAACTACATGGAAAAAAATCTTCAAGTGTAAAAGAAAAGATGAAGTTTAAATTAAAAAAAAAAACTAATTGTCTTTTAGGTTTTACAGATTCCAAATAGCCATCACCCTAGTTATTCCTAATTGGTTAATTTCCATTTGGTGATTTTGCTGTA